ACGGTGAGCTCCCAGCATGAGCCCAGCTTCTGCCAGCCTAGCAGTTCAAAAACATGTAAATGTGAGTAGATCAACAGGTTCCACTTCAGCAGGAAGTTAACAACACTCCATGCAATCATGCCATCCACATGACCTAGGAGATGTGTACGGACAACGCCAGCTCTTCGGCTTAGAAATGGAGATGAGTACCACCCACAGGGTTGGACACGGCTAGATGTAATATCAAGAGGAAACCTTTACCTTTACTAAACTATGTACAGTATGACCCATGTATCTGTGGAGTATATTTTCCTGGACTTTGCATGGAGAATTGTGGGTAATTGTGAACCCAATAGAAATGAAGGACATCTGACCCAAGGATACCACAATTGTGCTGTAGAACTAGAAATGACATAGTTTGCAAGACATGAATGAAACCACAAATATGGTCTTGCAAATCAAGGGTTGTACTGAATTACATTCACTAACAGCAGCAGCACAATACTACTTTGCTTGTAAATGCCTTGTGTGTTTCCCACGAACCTATGGCTACCACTTTGGAAACAGGGTGCCTTTTAACAGATACAGCATGACTCTATATGGTAGAAGAGTAGAGGTCTAGCATAACTGTTCTTATGTTGTGGAAGTTTCTTTTAATGAAGGGATTGCTGTTGCACTTCCCTCCTCTGTTTCTAAAGGCTTTTTCATTCTGTTTTCATTCTGTGCTTGATCTTAATTCAGTTTTTGGATATCTTATTTAATTGTTCTGCAATCTTATAACTGTTTTGATTGATGTTTTAACTGCTTCTGCACTAGACAAATGGCAGGATATCAAACAAACTGATAAATTTAGAGATCACCTTTATCATCACAAAGTGCAGATCTACACTTTCACATTTTTTTTGGTTTCAGGGCAAGTGGGGACATTGCTAGAAAGAAAGATAGACTGTGATATCCCACTATATTTAATGTGGATGCCTTGAAATTCAAAAGTTACCCTCAAATACCTTTGAATGTCTCGAAACTCAAAAGTTGCCTACAGGGACTAAATTAAAACAAATTAATTAAATTGACTATCCCACTCAGGGCTGGTGCCAGACATCCTGGTTCCTGAAGTGAAAGGGAGTTTCCTTGCTGCATCCAATTCCACCCACTGGCAGCTGAATCTCACGTCAACCTGGTGTGATAGGACAGCATTTTTTTACCTTAGCTGAGGGAAGCAGATTAACAGAAAGCCAGGAGGCAGTTTGGCAGACTACTTGGCTCTGTACCGCCACAAAGAACAGCTGGGTCTTACTGTTTCTGCCCCTTCGGCACCACCAGCATCTAGTAATAGGTTTCACCCTGATCCTATTTGTTGAACTTATTAGCACAGACAAGAATTTTGAATCTTCATGTTCTCATTAAGTGTTGGTGGAAAATAAGCTACCATTAACCCATAGAAAATAGCATACAAGTAGGGTTGCCAGGTTAAAACAACCACATGCCCTGAGATTTCAGCTAAAATCAAAGAGATAGGCATGACCCTAGGGATAAAAGCTGAGGCCCATTCAGACTGAAATTATTACAGTGCTGCTATTCCATCCCAGCCTCTGAATACCCTAAAGGCACCAGATCCTATTGGTCTTGGAAGCTAAGCAGATTCAGATCTGGTTAGTATTTCGGTGGAGAGGCTGCCAATGAACACCAGGTCTGTAGACTATTCTTCAAGAAGACCCTGGCAAGACAGCCTCTGAATGTTCATTGCCTTAGAAAAACCTAGGAAATTCATGGGGTTGCCATAAATTGACAGGCCACTTGAAAGTACACACTAACACACATATTTAGAATTCTCAGCCATATGATGTTGCCATGGCAGCTAAAGTATAATAATAGGACTATAATATATGCAGCGTGAATATGGCCTTGGTAATGTTACAAGGGGGGAGGCGGGTAATAGAAGGGGCAGAACTTGGTAGTTTTGGTAAGGATGATACACAGAGTGCCACATCCCATTTTATATGCGCGGTGATGTAGTAAAGTGACGTCCCTTTTATAAAATGGCAAAATCAATGGGTTTTTTGGGCATTTTTCTTTTGATAGGGTGGGAAATATTTTCAACTGTGGATGGTGGAATCCATGGATATAGTGAGCTGACTGTATACACATATTTTTCAATGCAGTGGTCTCACCTTGAGATTCCTCCCTCTCTCTACCTGAAGCCTGAGAACTGGGAACCTACAAGACTTCTTGGTAGAAGCCAGAACACAATGCTTGTGCATAATGGGGAAAAAACAAACCTTGAATGAAGGTAATATTGTATTTTATATAAATTATAGAGGAGACAGAGTTAGCATGTTATCTATAATCACAATCTGGCAAGTTGAAAATAACATATAACCGTACAGTTATTGCAAGTGTCGCTATTGTAAGTGTAGTTATTGTAAATGTAGTATGTTAGTTGTAAAGCTTGTACATCTATGTAATTTTCTGTAGTTTTGACATTTGCTGTTCTTTCTTTTTTGTGTCATTTTGTATCCCCATAATGTAATTTTATGTCGTAGAAATATGAATGTTAATAATTTTTAAACAAGACTTCCCAGGTAGAAGCCAGAACACAATGCTTGTGTATAATAGGGGGGACCTTGTGTGAAAGGTAGTATTGTACAGACAACAAGCATATTCGTGTTAATCATTTAATGCAGAAGGGCCCTGGATCAGCCAAATGCTGTATGGTGTTGATCCAAGTAATACGGAGCAAGACCACCTTAATGTTGCTTTGATGAATGTTTATTAAAGTTGGGTGATACTCTGAATTCTGGGCCAGAATTCAGAGTATCTCCTAATGAAAGGTCCATGTAAAAATTTGAGCTAGTTCCCAGGTGGAACCAACCACAACCTTTTTCACTGCCATCCCACCTCATGGATTTAAGTGACCTGGGGATATGGGAGGGCACTTTGCACTATTCCCATACTTCATCTCCTGTTGGTCCCTGGATGAGACATGGGTCTTACCTGTCAGCCATCAGTAGGAGAGGAGAAGGATGAGAGGAGGCATGATGGCCATGTATAAATATGTGAGGGGAAGTCATAGGGAGGAGAAAGCAAGCTTGCTTTCTGCTGCCCTGGAGATTAGGACACAGAACAATGGCTTCAAACTACAGGAAAAAAGATTCCACCTGAACATTAGGAAGAACTTCCTAACTGTGAGAGCTGTTCAGCAGTGGAACTCTCTACCACAGATTGTGGTGGAGGCTCCTTCTTTTGAGGCTTTTAAACAGAGTCTGGATAGCCATATGTTGGGGGTGCTTTGAATGTGAATGTCCTGGTTCTTGGCAGGGGATTGGACTGGATGGGCCACAAGGTCTCTTCCAACTCTATGATTCTATGATTTTAAGAAGGGATGGTAAGAGAGGTCATCTGGCGATGCTGGGATTGGTCCTGGGATAGTGAGTCAATATCAATCCACCCAACAAGCACAAGTCACAGAGAACCAGTTTCTCACACCACAAACCAACCTCACATCAATCCACACCATAGAATGAATGCAGTTTGATACCACTTTAACTACTATGGATCAATGCTATGGGATCCTGAGAGTTGTAGTTTGATGCATTGTCAAAGGCTTTCATGGCCAGAATCACTGGGCTGCTGTGAGTTTTCCGGGCTGTATGGCCTGTTTCCAGAACCATTCTCTTTAGGAGACAATGTGGTAATAATACGATAGCTGGGTCCGGAAGCTTTGAGCATTCCGCACATTCCGCAACTGCAGTTGTGAATAAGGGAAAGGGAGAGCAGCACACTGAAGGCGGGAATATACTTTGGAGTTGCATTTGGTGGAAGGATAGAAAGGAGGGGAGGGTTAGGATAAGGTTTAGGGTAAGGGTTTGGGTAGGGTAAGGGTTAAGGGTTTGGGTTAGGCATAGAGTAAGGTTTAGGGTTTGCATTAGGATTAGGGTTAAGGGTTAGTCTTAGGGTTAGGGGGTTTTTTTTGTCGTGTCAGGAGCGACTTGAGAAACTGTAAGTGACTTCTGGTGCGAGAGAATTAGCCGTCTGCAAGAATGTTGCCCAGGGGACGCCCGGATGATTTTTTATATGTTTTTATCATCCTTGTGGGAGGCTTGTCTCATGTCCCCGCATGAGGAACTGGAGCTGATAGAGGGAGCTCATCCGCCTCTCCCCGGATTCGAACCTGCGACCTGTCGGTCTTCAGTCCTGCTGGCACAGAGGTTTAACCCACTGCGCCCCTGGGGGCTCCTAGGGTTAGGGTAAGGGTTAGGGTTTGGGTAAGGATTTTACCATTAAAGAACTTTTACATTCCTTCTATAATATCTGTGTTCTGTTCTGCATTGCACAAACAGCACTCCCAAGGGAGCAAAGCAGAAACAGCATAACGCTCAGAGCTTCGGGACTCAGCTTTCATACTATTACCAACAATGCTTCTGGCGCATGGCCATACAGTCCAGAAAACTCACAGCAGCCCAGTTGTAGTTTGGTGAGGGGCCAGCACTCTTTGGCTGATAAGACCTTGTACAACTAGAGCTGACCGCATGGAGCAATGGCAAAAGTGCCAGGCTGCAGTGTGGGTGCAACCCCTGGCCCAGGTGGCACCGTCTATTATGCAGAAGGGGTTAAATAATGCAGCGCTGCCTTGTGCCAACTTTGTCCAAGGCGCACCGGGGACTGGCAGGAAATGCCTTGGCAGGGAGGCTTCGGGGGATTCGCGTGATCCCTGCGTGAGTGGTTTGGGTTCGCGCGGGGACGCGCTTTCCAGCCTGGCTGCTCAATGGCCCCTCTTGGAAGGGAGGTGGGCAGAGGGAGAGAAAGAGAGAGAGAGAGAGAGAGAGAGAGAGAGAGACGGGGCGTCGCCATCTGTTCCTAATTCCCCGGCCAGTGGATTAGTAGTAGCCCTGGGTGACGAGGATGAGATCAGCAGGCTGAGGCTCCCTTCTGGGGACGGGCGAGGGGCTGCCTGGGGCCGGAGCCTCTTCCCATCTGGGCTGCTGCTTGTGTCATGAAGGGGAGGGGGGGAGGAGGAGGAGGCGAGGAGGAGGCGGAGTTGGCGGAGAGAGAAAGCGAAGGCGGCCAGGAGAGAAAGCGGAGGCACAAAAGGACTCGCAGCCTCGGAAGGAGCCCGAGCCAGGCAGCGGCTGCAAAGGGCAGCCTGCCCAGAGAGGCCACTTTTGGAGCGGGAGGCGCGCAAACACCCCCAGGAAGGAGGGAGGGAGGGAGCAGAGCTTGCTGCAAGGGAGTTCCCTCCTCGCCTGGATTGTCTCCTCACAAGAGAAGGGAACGGGGAGGAAAAGAAACCCCGGGGAGCCCAAGCAAGAGAGGAAACCGGGCAACGGAGAAGCCCAGTCTACCTAAGGCTGGACTTCCTTTTTTTTTTCTTCTCTTTCTCCCCAGGCGCCTAACCTTCCCTTTCTGGACCGCTCTCCAACTTCTCAACTCTCAGCCCTGAGGTTTGGAGAGGGAAAGGAGGGAAAGAAAGAGGAATAGCATTGGAAGACCTTGTTTTGAGGGGGGAAGGGGGGATTTCTCTCTCCGTTCCAGAGGAAATATTGTAAAGTCCCAAGGAATTCTCCTCCTACTGCTTTGCTTACATGAGGCTCCTTCTTTGCCCCTCTCTGGATTGTCTGTATACTTTTAAATATATACACGAACCGACCAAGAAATACGGGAGCCCCCAAGAGATGCTGCTGCTTCTTTGTTCAGGGTAAGTTTCGAAAACGAAGCCTTTGTTGGTTAATACCAACCACGACTGTTATTATTTGTTTTGAAAGGTCTCATAAAAAAAAAGAAAAGAAACCGGGTTTGATGAAAGGCCACTTCAAAAAACAAGCAGTTGAGGACCTCATCAGTCCTTTCCAAGACAAAGGTCTGTCTCCATTGGCGAGGCAGGCTTGTTTATGACTCGGAAAAACTTTCGTGTCCCTGAACGAGTTGTGTGTGGTGATGGGTCACAAGATGTTGTCTTAGGAGGCTGCAAAACAATAGTCTTAAGCAAGAGGCGCCCTTAATAGATTCAAATGTAGTTCCTAAGAAAAGTGGTGTAGGAGTCATTTCCTTGGTCATCAAAGTGGAATTTCTGTCTGGAAAGGACTTGGTGGGAGGTGGTGTATTTTTAGCCTTGCCAAATACATACATTTGGAATTAAGTGCTCAAAGTAAACAGTGTTCTGTGCTTGTTTGCCTAAAGCTGTTTCTCCAGAACTGCTGAGATTTCTATTTTTGAACATTTTCACTTAGGGCTGTTGTTGAATTTCTCAATCACTTAAATCTAATCATTCTTGGGGGAAAAGTGAAGTTGGGGGAGGGAGAAAAAATGCTGGGAGGAACAACTAGAGAACAACTAGAGAAGAGCAGCATTTTTCAGCCTCCCTAATGCCATGACCCCTTCATACATTTCTTCATGATGTGGTGACCCCAACCATAAAATTATTTTTGTTGCTGCTTCATAACTGTAATTTTGCTACAGCTATGAATCATAATGTAAATATCTGATCTGCAGGATGTATTTTCATTCCCCGGACCAGATTTGGCACAAATATCCCATACACCCAAATTCGAATAGTGGTGGAATTTGGGGGAAATAGACATTTGGAGTTTGTTGTTGCTGAGTTTTATAGTTAACCTAAAATCGAAGAGCATTCTGAACTCCACAAATGATGGAATTGAACCAAAGTTGGTTCACAAAGCTTCCATCCTCATCACACTAAATGAATCCACTTTAAATTCAGTTGCTGCCTCCTGCAGAATTCTGGGATTTGTAGTTTAGGGAGGAACCTTGAATAGTCTCACTAACTACAACCCTCAGAATTCTATAGGACACAGAAACTGGATTTAAAGTGGATTCATTCTCTAGTGTGATGAAGTAGAAAATACTGGAAGGGTTTGGTGGGCATTGACCTTGAGGTTTGGATTTGTAGTTCACCTACATCCAGAGAGCACTGTGGAGTCAAACAATGATGGATCTGGACCAAAGTTGGCACAAATACTCAATATGCCCAAATGTGAAAATTGGTGAAGTTTGGGGAAAATAGACCTTGACGTTTGGGAGTTTTAGTTGCTGGGATTTGTAGTTCACCTACAATTAAAGAGCACTCTGAATCCATCCTACAATGGATCTGCACCAAACTTGGCACCCTACCTACATGGTCAACATTGAATACTGCTGGGGGTTTGGGAGGGGGGGCTGTTTTTGAATTCTCAGAGTTGTAGTTGACCAACACCAAAAAGGAAGAGAAAGAGAAGCATAAGGATCTTCAGCCTTCTCTGTCAAAAGGGTTCCTAAGGCCATCTGATGGTCTTTGGTGACCCTCTGAACCCCACTCCCAGGAGTCCCGATCCCCAGATTGAGAAACACTGAACTAAAGTATTATTGAATACCTGTAGCTTGGGGGGTCATGGTAGCAAATAACATTAAGTTAGAGACTGTATGTGAGAGAAAGGCACAGAGCAAGAAGTTATGTCCAGCAGGGAGTATCTATTGTTTTGATCACCCAAGTTGATTGCAAGCTGTCATCCTTGGTGCTAAGCAGCCTTTTCTTCCCCTCAGTCTTTTTAAAAGAGTGCTCCTTTGCCCTTAGTGACAGAAACCATTCATAACAAGATAAGATTGCCTTGTGAAAAGACTGCTGAGGTTTTCCTAAAGGGGTATTTCTCAGCTTGATATTTGTTTGAGCAAGCTATCTCCAGGCATGCACTGTGTCACATTGTGCCATCTCTGTAACTAAAACAAGCAGTAGCTCCAATTCAGTTTGTTTATTTAGTTTTTCTATCAGTGGAATAACTTAATGGGGCTGTACCTTGTGTCTTAAAGAGACGCACACACATGTTGTATACGCACATATTGTGTAGGACTCGTATAAAAACCTGAACCTGGTGACATGTTTATTAAGGTGTTGTTGATGAAAATGGGCTTCCAGACTTTAAAACATCCCAAGCATAGAAGACCTCCTTCTATTTGTGTCTACCACTGTCTGATTTGACCTACTGCAACTGTTTCTTGCTCAGTATCATTACTTGCACTAGAGGGGAAATAATACTTCCTTTCTTGCAAGGGCACTGTGGCTTAATTTATTAATGCGTTGTGAGGCACTCTGACTTTCTCAGACAGTGCTAAGGAAGAACAGAGTGGAGCTATAAACCAGAAAAAACACATCCCTGCATTAACTATTTGAGGGATGAAATGTGTTCAGAGCAGTACACCCAACATATTTTCTCAGTGTGTGCATTCATTATGTACCTTTCTCTGCTTTGGCCAGAAAATGCTTAATGTTTTTTTTTTCCCAACTTTGTGTGTTTGCAAAGAAATGTAAAGGCAAGAACATATTTCTGGTAGGAGGGAGACTATATTCTTCAGATTACTAGTGGCCTTGAAAGTATTGTCTTACATATGAGGATATAAGGTTGTACAAAAAGTATGTACAATTTGAACAATTGGAATACAGATAGGGAATTGGATCCATACAGTTATTGACACAAATAGTCCAACTACTGAGGTGTGACTCGGCCTGGATCAAGTCCAGTGAGTATTACATAGACATAACTGCTTATAATTAAATATTTGGGTGGAAAAGTGGGGTGAGAAGCAATTAAAAATAAATTTACATTAAATTTGGCTTTAAAATAATTCAAAGGAAAGCTTTTAAATGCAGATTCAAGACTACTTTAAAAATGAATAGCTTCTTGCTTGCTGAGCGAAACCTGTCTCCTGCTGATCCATGGCACTTCTCATTAACTCTCCCTGCTTCTTGTGGCTGGGCAAGCTTAGCGTAATGGATTTTCCATGTACCAAGAGCAGGCAACTATTCCTGTCTCCTCTTCCTCCCTAGATACTGCTTGCCCCAGTTCTGTGTGTAGGTCACTGTCTAACTCTCTTTGAAGGGAAACGTTTGTCACAGTCGATCTTTCGTGTCCTGTTTGCTAGTGTCCCATCTGCTAGATTACGATGCTCCGAGGAACAAGAGTTTATTTTTCCTGTTCATACTGCATGTCTGTTCCCATGCTTTTACAGCATGTTTGCTTCGCTTACATCCCTGACCTACATGGTTGACTTTGGCAGCCAAAATAGGTTTGCCACCTGTCCAAGCTGATTTGGGACTGTTTTTGATATCACAAAAATATTCATTTTAGTTTCTGCTAGAATAGTATACAGTGTAAAGATGTGCAGGACAGAGGCTGCTTCTAAACAATGAAGAGAAGTTTCTTTACCCTTTCTCATATCTGGAATGGAATTGGGTTTCCCTCCCTCCGTTCCTTTTGAGAGTTCCACCTAAGGCATAGATTTTTAGTGGCTGATCTTATTATTTCTAAAAGTTAGAACTACTTTCTCAATTTTTAATGATTACCTGGGTTCCTTCCTCTTTTAATTTGATGTTCAGAGTGTTAGTACCAGCTGATACTACTGTTCCTCTGACGTCCTTTATTTACAGGCTTCTTGCATGATAGCAGCGTTACTTTAGAAAGATTGCTCTTAAGCTGCAAATCCCAGTTTGAATGATGGTAAGATCCCTTGGCTTCTACTGTTAGCTTGTGAGGATAAAATGCTTTTTACATATTTGAAGAGGAAGGGAGGGAAATGTTGCTGGGGATTCATCAGCTTAAAACCCGAATCTTTAAATATTAGTGGAAATGTACGTTGAGGCCTTAGGCCAACAGAACATGATACTAAGAGTGGCTGCTTTTCCATAGGGATGAACGACCTCATTTTGTACTCAAGCAGCAGACCTAAACGCATTATAATTATTGAATAAGAATAAGCCCATCATTAATTTAGTATAAGGGCTGTAAAATCAAATTAGACTATTAGTATATAGCAATTAAATGATCTATTCTGGCCTAGCACAAACCTGCAGATGTTTTGAACTACACTTCCAAAGTCATATTTATTTATTTACCTTATTTATATCCTGCCTTTCTCTATCTCAAGGGGGACTCAAGGCAGCTTATAATTGTACCTCCATGGTGCCTTAAAACATACCACATCAGTTAAAACATAAGTTAAACATTAAAGTATAATAAGCATAATAAAAATACATTTCAATGAATCATGTCATACAGTTGACTGATCATTTGGAAATCTGTGGAGTTGTGGTCAAACTGTGTTCTGGAAACCAAGTTAAGAAATGTTTGACTAACCTAAGTTGAAGATGTCCTGGCCCAGTGGCATTTAAAATAATAGAGATTTACAATGCGCTTCAGCTGAGACCTCCAAATCAAGAAGCCTCTGTGGAGTAGCAGACAACTTCCTATCCTTATCATGGACCTTGGCTCTGCTGCTCCTGGGTTGGCTTTCTGGAGTCTGACCTTGGTTTCCTGTACTCTTGCTTTGGGCGTCTGGACTGACTTCAACTTTGGTTTGTATTCTTGACTTTCTGGTTTGACGTCTGAACTCTGATAGCGGGTTGTACGCCTGGATACCTGGCCTTTGAGTATGGACCTTGACAATTGGCTCTTCTCATCTGACCATTGGACAGTGACCTTGGCTGTTGTTTGTTGCTCCTGACCTGGCTCTGCACTTTTTGGCTTTATTAATTGGACACTTGACCGTGGTGGCATTCACTGTTTTTCACTTTATGTATTATAATTCTGTTATTTTGGCCACACCTTGAAAAACTCAAGGCTTCAGTTTTCTTTACAATATGGTATTGACATACCTTACTCTTGTTTAATTAAATGTCAGCCCTGATCCTGGGACTTTCTGGCAGGTAAA